AAATGAATTCAGACAGATTGTAGGGAGTCTACTTTATCTGACTGCCACAAGACCAGATGTCATATTTGCATCTAGCTTGCTTGCTAGGTTTATGCACAATCCCTCAAAGAAACACATGGGAACTGCTAAAAGGGTGCTGAGATACATACAAGGAACATTAGATTTTGGAATTGAGTTTGCAAAGGGGAAAACAGCTACTCTAATTGGATATTGTGACAGTGACTGGGCTGGGAGTGAGGATGATATGAGGAGCACCTCAGGATATGCCTTCACACTAGGCTCAGGCATGTTCTCTTGGGCTTCCATCAAGCAAAACACAGTTGCTTTATCTACAGCCGAAGCTGAGTATGTGAGCGCTGCAGAAGCAACTTCACAAGCTAAGTGGCTCAGATTTGTGCTTGAAGATTTTGGTGAAGAACAGGTAGAAGGGACTCCAATTCTATGTGACAACACCTCTGCAATTGCAATGGCAAGGAATCCAGTTCATCACCAAAAGGCAAGAGGTGAAGAAACTGGAGATAACGTTGTTGAGCCTTAATGCGGTGCTTAGTGACGCGGAGGAGAAGCAATTCCTGAACAGCTACGTGAAGGAGTGGCTCAATAAGCTTCAAGATGGTGTCTTTGATGCGGATGACCTTCTGCATGAGATCAATGCTAAAGTTTTGCGATGCAAGGTGGAAGCTGAATTTCAAACCGTCACGAATAAGGTGCGGGACTTCCTCCCTACTTTTCTTAATCATAATTATCAAGGCATGAAGGGTAGGATACATAAGTTGCTTGAAAGGTTAGAGCACCTTGCAAAGCAAAGGGAATTCCTTGGGCTGAGAGAAGGTGTTGTTGGGGGGAAGGTTTCTCAAAGAACTCCAACAACTTCCTTGGTGGATGAATCTTGTGTGTACGGTAGGGATGGAGATAAAGAAAAGCTGATGAACCTCTTGTTATCTGATGAAGCAAGCAACAAGGATGTATCTGTCATCACCATAGTGGGAATGGGCGGGGTTGGCAAGACAACCCTCGCTCAGCTCCTTTATAATGATGACAAAGTGAAAGAGCATTTTAATCTTAGAACTTGGGCTTATGTTTCGGAAGATTTCGATGTTACTAGGGTAACTAAAACTCTACTTGAGTCAGTCAGTTCAAAAGCTTACGATAATAAAGACCTGAGTTTTCTTCAAGTTGAGCTAGGACAACAAATAAAGGGCAAGAAATTTTTATTTGTGTTGGATGACCTTTGGAATGAGAACTATGGTGATTTGAGTGTCTTGCAACGTCCTTTTGCATCCGGGGCAAGTGGAAGTTGGGTCATTGTGACAACACGTAACGAAAGTGTTGCAGCTCGCATACGCACCGTTCCAATTCACTTTTTGGAACAGCTGTCCGATGAGGATTGTTGGTTGTTACTTTCAAAGCATGCCTTTGAAAATGGAAGCTCGAGTGCACGTCTAGATCTGGAAGAAGTTGGTAAGAAAA